TGTCCGTCCATCTCGTCCTTGCCCTCCACTTCACCAGGCAGGATGTCCTCCAGGGACTGGTCTCTCCTGACAGCACGTCCAAAGTCTGTGAGACACAGTCTCGCCACCCTGCCTCCGAGGAGCGCTCTGGCTGCACGTTTTCCGAGACAGACTTGTTGGTTCTTTCAGCAGTCCACGGTGCTTTCAGTGTGCCTTGCCAGCACCGGAGTGCACAAAGGTGGTTTTCCCCCCTCGTCTTCCTTGTTCCATGTCAACCTTTCACACGCACAGGGGACAGTTGAAAATACCATGGCTCACGTCGGCATACTTAGTCCTCCAAGTAAAATCCTTGTTTTTAAACACTTCAAAGAGGTCTTGTGCACTAGATTTACCCAATACAGTGTGTCGTTTGATCTCTTGCCTGCTGTTTCCATGCGTGTTGATTGTGGATCCAGGCCAAATGAACTCTTTCTCCATTTTGTGCGACGTTAACCTGTTGGTCCAATTGTGAGGATTTCCGTTATCTTGACATTGATTTGTAATCCATACTGAAGGCCACGGCCATGCTCTTCATCAGCAAGTATGGCGAGTGCTCCTCACTGTATGCCGTCTGCGCACAGCAGTGGCTCCTCAGTCTCCCTCCAATCCCGATACTGAATTCTCCCTGTCATTCAGCTCTGGGGCTTCGCTCGCTCAGCACGCAGACTGAACAAGGAGGGTGAGAGGATGCCCCCTGACACACACACTGCTCCTGGCTCTAGACCACGCAACGTGCCCTTGTTCTGTTCACACAGCCGCCGCTGGATTCTTGTCCAGGTCCCAGTGAGCACAGTGTGGTGTTCTGGGATTGCCGTTCTCCTCAAGGCCACCCACAGTTTCTTAGGGCCCGCACGGTCCACGAAACACAAGTACACATCTTTCTGGTATTCTCTGCTTTCAGCCAAGATCCCACCGGCATCAGCAATGGTATCCCGTCTCCCATGCACCTCTGGCAGCTCCCTGTCAATGTGCTGCTGCAGCCATTGTTGAGTGATCTTCAGCAACATGTGACTGGCATCTTATGTTCATGATACTGTTCTATAATGTGCTCTTTCAGCTGGGCCACTTTTCTCAAATTTACTGTCATTACTATCGACTTATTATTAATCATTTTATTTAGGGGCTCCCCCCCCCTGCCCCCAATTACAGGGTTTTATTAGGGAACTTGTCAGGTGACCACAAGCCAGGATCAGGAAACAGTATGGATACAATCATTGGTCTACAGCAACACCTCTCCTCAGCCAGCAGCCAAGTGTCTCTCTACTCCTCCGCCACATGGTCCCTTGGTCTTTGCCTCCATGCTCTGCCTCACAGTCTTTTGTTTGTGTGGTTGTTTGTTGCCTCAAGTCTTATAGTCTTGGCGCTGCTCCACTGTTCTGTCTTGTGGTCTTGTGAGCTCCCTGCCTCGGCCTCGGGTCTCAGCCTGGTTCCGTCCCTCCGTGCCCTGGTCTCCGTGAC